GGTACAGGCTAAATATCTGAATGCACCTAAAAAAAGGCAGAATCAGTGAGCGGGAAAGAACAGGAGGCTGATGATAAGGAATTCAGCACCCAGAGAAATGTATGATCCTGGAACACTGGAGATGGAGCAGTTTTCCAAGAGTTCCAATGCCAAGGTTAGAAGTACTAGCTGGGAGCTTAAAAAACTAGAATGAAAAAGAGCATCAAACTACATACTATGGTCCAAATCCAGTTGTGTGCCTATTTTTGCAAATCCCTCGTTTGTAGAACAGAGCCACACCAATTCTTTCACGTGGTTCCCTAGGGCTGCTTTTACCAACAGCAGAGTTGAAGGGCTGTGACAAAGAACACATAGCCTACACAACCAAAAACATCCACTACCTGGCCTCTTGCAGGGGAAGTTTGCTGACCCCTTGTCAATACACCAAGGGAATTAACCCATAAGCCTTACCATAGGCACTGATGTCACTGAACATACCTGGAACACACTGCATAAGTACTGAGATTGTTTGAATCATCTGCTTGAGTTTAAATTCCTCATTTGTCCATTTATTAGGTGTGTGAATTTGAATATCGCATTTAAACTTCATTATCTCAGTCTACCTCACTCCAGAATGGAAATAAGACACATTTTTATTGCATGGGATTGACAAAGGATGGCATTAAAACATTATCTGGCAGGTGGCAAACACTGTTTATGTGTTGGTCACTATTTTAATAGGTGCACAGTAGTTATTAAGCAATGAATGCTGGATAAATATTAAGAGATAATCTGACTAAGGTGCTAATTTGTTGAAAGCATGATGGTAGTTAATGCAAAACACTTGTCAATGAAGTAACCTTTAAAAAGGGATATTGCTTAATTGAAATAAAAGAAATCATCAGAAGTGACATTAAACATAAAGATTATGTTATTCCACCTCATTTAAGTGAATCCTTGGAAACAAAGTAACACAGGACTTCTTAAGATCTTACTTGTATTAAAACATGCAGAATGATTAAAGATCTAATTCAATAGAAATGGGCCATCATATCTGGAATTAAACAGAATATGTCTCTGACTTCATATCACACAATATATAAAATGTCTTATACAACTGAGAAACCATTTTGTAGTCCCCCCAAATATTTCTGCACAACTGGGTCAGGTCTTTTCTGCCAGCCTTATTTACAGACACTACAGCTTGTCCATAACTGCTTTGCTTGATGGACCTGAACCAAGTATGCAAATTGCTCATCAGATCTTTGGCTCAATGTTCATTTAAATGTGCTCAAAGCATAAGTTCTGTGAAACACTAAACACAAAAAAGGGACATAGTGGTGTCAATTTGGAGGCTCAGTAAAACTGTGACAAGCCTAACTACTGTACTACAGGATTCTTAAGTCTAACAACTTAGCTAATCATTAGCGGAACAGATGGTTCCCAGATCAGCCTAATCGAAATTCAGATATGCTAAAGCCTACCATTTTCCCAGCTAAAGTGATCTGCTGGGTCTCTGCCTGAATGCATTTAAATGACAAAAATGCATGTGATAATCTACCTGTCCAGGAGTCACAACCAGCAAATCTATAAGAGCTACATCAGGAAAAATAGCTAGGTAGCAAGGAAGGACTGTGTGAAGACCTCCATAGACTCTGTCATTAGACCTACCAAAGAGCTCCCACTGTTCAGTTCTATTGAACATGTTCAAAAATAGAATGTTTCCTTCCCTGACAGTTCCTCTCCTGCCAGCTTTAACAAGTGTTTCGCCCTATGATTTTCCCCAGGCCAACTCATTCAGTTTGTTCCAAGCCTCAGTAGCACACATAACCACACACAGAATGCAGACCAGAAGACTTTCCACCAAACATTTATCCCACAGCCAAAGCCCATGTTACACCCTCTCATCTTTTCTCCTCCCCAAACGATGCTGTAAACCAAAGAGCTTGCTCATATTTCAATCCATGAATATCACCTGCACTTCCTTTTAACCTATAAGGTGTGGCTGATGTCTCGGATATTTTATGACTTCAGTCTTATTAGAAATGAATCAGGGAATGTTGCCCATATGCTGGTGTGATCTTAAGCTTAGACAGCTACCCAAGATCTGAGAAAGAAGGCAAGAAAAAATAATTCTACATTAGAAAGAGGAAAGGTGTCATACTACAGACAAGTACCTGATGTTAACACAATCTGATCATCCATCCATGATCTTATTAATGTGATCAGCAATGCTTTGTGGCAAACTCAAGTTGAAAATGAGAACATGCTTTTAGAAACCAAAAGCACATGACTGATTTTTATAAACCTATTCCAGGTAAATGTACATCTGTTATGTCTATTTGTTTTTTGTATTTTTTAAATTTATGGACTCAGAGACCCTGACCACTGAATTGGAGGCCCCTGGTAACATAGTGACTCAAATTGAAAATGAATGACCTACAACAAGAAAGCAGAGCCTTTCAAATATAGCATCTCTACGATTTTCATTTCTCACACCTTCCTAGCTGAGAAAATCATTTACTGAAATAGCAGGGCTGACTCAAAAAAAAGCTAAGTAAATATAAGAGTAACACCCATTCGCAGATTTCAAAAACCTGATATTTTCAGAAAAGTTACATATTAACTATACTTCTTTCCATCCTTTTCTCTATTTCTCAAGTACTTTATTTCCATTTCATTCCTCCAGATGAAATGGAATCTACAAAATGCTGGCAAAGGTAGGGATATATTCCAAGATGTCTAACCAAGAAAAATCATCAAAATTTCATGAGGTATACAAGGGAAAATACATTAAAAACCTCTAAAATTTTAATCACCCTTGAACACCTTCCTTAGGCATTTAAACTAAAAGCCTCAACTATTACCAACTAAATGTTGCAAGAGTAAACTGAAAAATAAACCTTCAAACCAGGCTTTTTCCTGAAATGAATCTCAAGAAATGCTTACTGAACAGCAGTCTTGGGCATAGGTTTAATTTTTCAATTTTGTAAGACATGGAATGCAACAGATTGGATTTTTCTGTTTTAGTTTAACAGCCCAGCTTCAATCCTTAGGTTTTTGTTATTCACAAGTCTTCACATTCACAGAAGTTACAAAACAAGTTGGGCACATGGGCAAAGGGGCAACAGGGACAGCAGCCCACAGCCATTAACCCTTGCCGCTAACTCTCCTGTGGCACACAGCATGCTCTCCAGAACTCCCAGTGCTGGGACTTCTCCCTGATGGGAAAATCAACAACACAAGCTCAAGGTTTCCCTACTCTGTTGCCTTTACTCAGAAGAAAAGCAACACAAAAGGGAACCCTACAATCACAAAACCTTAGCTTCTGTTATGAGATTCAAAAGACCCTCAGTCCACCTGCCTTTGAAAGGTGTCAGTATACCTGCCTCGTACAACAGCTAAAGACTCCAGAAAGCCCAGAATTATCCTAGATGTAAAAAAGAACTTCATATTTCAATAACCTGAAGAAAGTTTATTTTAGACATGAGAATTAACTAACCATTTCAGTACACCTGACACTTGAGATACTTTGTGTTCTCTCCATGTATAAGCTTTCATTTTTTGTGTGTATGTCTGCTCATTTGGCGTATGTCAGGCATGAGACTTTTTCAAATCTAATTTACTACAGAAAAAACAAATGAGGAACTCAGCTCAAAAATCAACATCATTTCACAATACCTACAAAATAGGATCTTATATCCCCAAAGACATACTTCTTTAGATATGATTTTTCAACATCCAAGATTTCCAACAGTTTGTAGCAAAAATTATTTTGTCTCTAATATTTGCAATAAAAATCACTCTCCTAATACTAAAATAAAATCTGATACAATAAATTTATATTCAAAAAGGATGTAGCTAATCAGTTTATTTGATATTTACTGGCAATTTGAATCAGATTAAATTCAATCTTTCATTTATTATAATTACTGAGCAAGTATGTGGCCATCACTGCACGGGGTACTAGAGATAAAAGCCAAAAAGGACCTTGAGGCTATATGTCATACTAATAAATACTGTTAAATTATTTCCAAACCCTGAGGGCAATGTTAGTATAATTATAACATGAAATTATAAGCTGACTAGCTTTAAGGGAGCTGTGTATAGAATACTGAGAGTTTCCCTTTTAATTTTATCAGACAAGTTCTTATACAGTATCATGTGTGGTCATTTATTCCCTCACACTATCTCTGACTATAGACATGAGCTTATTAGCATATTGGGTTTGCCCTATAAGACACAGAACCTTAATTTGAGAACACTGGAGAGTTCTGTAGTGGCAAGAGATGATCAAGAACCACCACAGAAACATGCGTAAGTGGATTAAGACTCAAATTCTTCCACCTATCTACTTTGGTCTAAAACTTACACTGACAATGCTGCAGAAGAATTCCTTTGGGGGTAAAAATAACCTTATGAATTCATGAAAGAAGAACAAAAGTTCTAAATACCAAGTGATATTTAATATTATTTTCTAGCATAGAGTTAATCCCATAAACGTCAAAGGATATTGCAAATAAATAGTTAACAAGGACTGATTTTTTACATGAAATGTCCCTAGAAGTATTAATTCTGTGAAACTATACCATTTGTAACTATATTTCTCAGCATCCATAGAGAGTCTAATAGATTGCAGGTCTTCTTTTTTAATCTTGCAAATCTGATCAGCTGCCCTTACCTTATCACGGGATACTAAGACAAGTAAGGCATGCAGATACCTATCTGCTCTCACTGGTCCCAAAGCTATTTACATGTGAACAAAAACCTATTGATTATTCAGGATTAATATACACATATTAGTTCTAAAATACAGTATTCTCTGCTTGAAGGTGTGTGCTCTGGCAATCACCTCAAGGCTAATGAAGAAGCAATAGTGAATTCTTATCAATTAAATAATTGAACCACCTTAAATTCCACTTTTTGGTGTTTCACTTAGGTTCCAGGATACTTAATAGTCATGTTATTCACTCCTAAATAGAGTAAGAACACAAAGAAATATAAATGTTAATTAAGAATACCTTTTTCCCAAAGATGACGAAAACACTTGTCCAGAGGCTGATTAAGAATCATAAGGCAGAACTTCAAACTTCCTACAGGAAAAAAAAAAGAAGGTAAAATAAGTAAGTGAACTGAATTTTTTAGTTGATTTTTGTTGTTGTTTTGTTTTGTTTTTGTCTTTTCTGTTTGATTAATTTCCAGACCTCTTATCTGGGTCTGGAAATACACCCCACTAGTGCAGATTTTTAGTGTATACAAAGCTACATTTCAAGCACAGATAATCCCTCAAGCCTTCATTTCAAGAGGAATCATAGGCTAACTAGACCTACTTTACTCAACAAGTCTGTCACATTCCTATATTACAGAAGAATTCAGTATAAACACAATTCATCATAAAAAACGATTGGGTAAACTTTCTGTAGTAAATGAAGAACTCTTGACATGAATTCTCATCCTCATATTCTATCCGCCTCTTTGATAGAATTCCCCTCCCACAGGCTGGTTTATATCATCCTGACATTTTGTACCCCAAGGTGGGGGTTCTGTGTATTTCCTCTGTTCATGTTCATTCCTAGTCTCCCCTCCCCTCTCTCTGCTTCCTCCATCTCTACCCCACCTTTAACATTCCAATGCAAAACCCTGCATGTGTTTTCACAAAGTCTTAGTAGGTCTTTCTATGATTGTTTTATTTCAGGGTTTTAGATGCCACTCGAAAGACTCTGAAAGATGGAGAAAAGTTACTTTCCAACAATCATCCCATGCCATTTATTAGAGACTTCAAACAATGCAAAGCTGTTGAAAATCTATCATTCAATTCAGTTCAGTCCAAATACCCTCCATTCCACTTACAGAAAATAAAAAATGTTTGTTTGGTGATTAAAAAAATTGTTTTTTATGCCATCTCACTACTAGAAACAAGATAAGAAGATGACAGCAAACATTATTATCATCCACAGCAAACATTATTGAGAGCCAATTACATAACAGGCCCTGGGAATACCAAGAGGAATAAGATTACAGGCTATATGTGAAGTAAGACATAAAGATGATTTATTCAACAATACAATATGAGTGTATGAGAAGCACCAGATAAACAGATCAATGAGAATGGCAGGAGTTCAAAGGCTAGGGAGTCAGTAAGGTCTGGTGTCATCCTAGGAATCTTTGCAAAGTGTACTTTTTTGAACTTGATCTCACAAAGAAAAAGAAGTTGGAAAGAATAAAGAAAAAGACATTCGAAACAAAGGAGATAGCCCACAGGAAGCTGCTATCCTTAGCCATTAGGGTTACTACTACAGGTTTTTATAAACAATGCCCTAATGGCATGACTCTAGGATAGCAATACTAATGTCACAAATTCCTGATGTTTAAGATGACAGGAGCTTAACTTGAGGCACTCGGGATGTATTTAAGAGCAACACAGGAGCAAGCAGATGAAGCATCTGATGTAGGTTGGGGAAGTACCCTTACAGAGGTAAGAGCAAAAGGAAAAGGTAAGACCCGGCAAGCTGCCACCATACTGCACAGAAAGGTCAAAATAAAGAACAAAGGCAAAATCCCTGGGGTTTGCGCACTGTCACGGGGCAGAAGGAAAAGACAGGAAGGTAGGAGAATCTGGAGAGCAAGCCAAGAATGAGCCTTCAAGACACAGAATGCAGCAGCAAAGTCAAGGGGACCCAACAATGAGAAGAAGACAATGAAAGGGGTAGAAATCTCAAAGAAAAACCTGCAAATCTACAGAGGGAGACTCAAGATCGTAGGGACTGCAGAGTTAGTGTACACTCAGGAAATTAAGAAGAAAGGACAGACAGTAAAAATATAAAAGCATTCCTATATTCTAAACAGGGGGAAGGAAGAGAGAAAGGTAATTATCCACTTATTCCTTCAAAGACAAGTTTACAGAGCACAAAGCCCTCTTGATCTGAAACCACTCCACAGGGCAGTGCGGAGACATGGAGTCCCCACACCAGGCGTTCATGCTAGAAAAGGGGCTGGGACTGACACACCTGCAGACACAGCAGAGAGGCACATGAAGCTCATTTATTTATAAGAAAGTAAACATAAAATAAGAGGGGAAAATATGGAATTAGAGTGGAATATGGAGTATTTAAAACAACTGCTTAAAAACAAAGTGAAATTAGCCAATCCCAAAAAAACAAATGCCGAATTTTTTTCTTTGATATAAGGAGGCTGATTCATAGTGGGATAGAGAGAGGGCGCATAGGAGGAATAGACGAACTCTAGATAGAGCAGAGGGGTTGGGGGGAATGGAGGGGGCATGGGGTAATTAATGATGGTGGAATGTGATGATCATTATTATCCAAAGTACAGGTATGAAACCAAGAACTAGTATGAATATACTATGTATACAACTAGAGATATGAAAAATTGTGCTCTACATATGTAGTAAGAATTATAATGCATCCTGTTGTCATATATAAATTTAAAAAGAAAAAAAAAATAAAAATAAAAATGGTGGAAAAAAAACCAGCTGACAGTTCACAATTTTAAATGTAGAGATCCAATTGGGGTTGACCAACAAAATCTAATGGCAGTTATAGGCAATGGATCTGCGTATAATATTAGGAGATTTTTCAACCATTTCCAGGGAACAGAAGTAGGAGAAGGCATAAGCAAATAAGATGTTGAGGACAGTTGGTTTTTAAAAGTGGCAAAATGACTCTTCAAGAATTAAAGGAACCAAGAAAAAAAAAAAAAAGAGTTAAGGAAACCTTTGGGATTTCCTTAGGTAGCTTTAGGAAGCATGAGACCATTACTGATCTCTGCTGCAATCATGACAGGTTTTCATTTTAGTAAAAGAATCCTGCAGGAGGGTTGTTTGTTATTTCTGCTGAGTTTTATTTTGTTTTGTTTTACTGAGCATTTTACCTGTACGCATAGTTGCCCAGGTAAAACTCCATATCTCAAATACCTTGTCACAGACTAAGTTCTGGCCAAGGAGGTGTACACAGAACCTTCTTGTGCTACGGCTGGTTAGAATCCTTAGAATGGAGGGGGCCTTTACTTCAGCTTCCTCCCTTCTGCATCCTGCCACTGGGAGCAAGAACTCATGTGTCCTCTGAATGAAAGTGCAGCGGCCACCTTGGACCATAAGAACAAGGGGCCCTGGCTGCTGATGAGTTAGGAATCCTCCACTCCAGTGCTCCGTGGTCTGTCTCCAGGCTTCCTGGGGGAAGGGGGAACTAAGCCCTTTCCTTAGTTGAACATTAATTCTGAGAAGCTTCTTAATTCCTAGAAGCAACAGGCCCCACTGTGAGATCAGGAGCCAGGACTGGAAATAGAGCCCTTGCTGCTATTTTACCAGAATTTGTTAAAAGACAGGGAAATTGTTAATTGGTCTCTTTCTCCTTCCCTTTCTTTCCTACCTTCCTTCTTTTCTCATCAGTTGTTCCCAAATTATCCAGGGGAGTTTGTGGCACATGAAAATTTCTGGACCTTATCCTAGATCTGTTAAACTGTATCTCCGGGCATGAGGCACAGGGATCTGCATTTTATAACAGTTGCTCCGACACAGACGGCCCATGAGGGCACTTTGAGAAATCTTGCCCAGTTATCACCACACCTCTTCCAAAGACCCAGGGGGGGCTTTTTTCCTAGGATAACATGAGACATCTCAGTAGGCAGCAAGGCAGGTCACTGTGCTAGCCAATTCATTTAAATTTTCAAATAATACATGGCAAAGTCCAAAACAGTGCCATAAAAACAACCAAACCAACCAACCAGCAACAACAATGACAAGAAAAAAAAAAAAAAAAAACACTTCTCTCTTGTTTAAGTCTGTGCTATTTTGGGTTTCAATATTCTATAGAGAAAAATCTAATTTTAATAAAAGTAGTGATCATGGTTCAAGCTGCGTTAAGGTAAACATGACCTAGATAGAAACTGGAGATGACTATAAAGCAGAGCAGGCAAGCATCAAGCCGAGGGAAGGAGAGCATCAACTGGCCCATTCATTCAACCGGGATGGGGCATGAGTCTCAAGCTAAGCACATACCCAGTGCTCAGTAAGATGTTAATAGCAAGAAGTTAATAATGTGGAAAAACCAAAGGTCCTTTTCTGTTGACAATGTCTCCACTGCCAAAGAGGCACGTAACCATACTGTACATAGGTCTCAAAGAACTAACGAAACTATTTCCTGTTACTATTTTTTTTTTAATATGTAAACTTGGTATTTCTGTGGCTCCAAGAACAATCCAATGGGAGGGAAACATTACTGCTCACATTATTGCTATTCTAGACCAAGACTTTCATTAAGGTAATACCCATGAAAGCAGCTTCACTTAAAAAAAAAAAATCAGGAAAACACACAAGTTATGATTTGCTGATGATGTGATTAAAAATAATTGACTATTTCTACCTACGACATGCACGTTAAGCTGTTTCTATATAAGAAGTTCCTTAGGTAATAGGATCTAATAATCTTTCCTGATGTAGTTTGGTTTTCTCATAGGATTTGACCGTCTTTTGCTAACCTAGTTTCCTCTGGAATCATAACTAGACGAGTCGTAAGTTGATGAAGGCACCACGGTTCCTAAACAGTGTATAGAAGTTTCAACACAGCCACTCCACAACCCTGGAGGCCACCCCACTCTCAAACCTTGGAATTATGGGACAATGCCTCAGATGCCAAACATTCAGCAAGTTTAGGAGTCATTAGCCACAGAAGCAAGGAAATTAATAGTCTTATTTCAAGTATTTCTCAAGTTGCAGCACTGATGCTGTTTCTGGAATGTGCAAAAAGATTTTTTTTTAAAAAAGACTGTGAAGAACTTCCTCATTATGTTATAAAGACTGCAGATTTTTTAACCAAGTGTCCTAAGGCGATCTCAAAGATAAATGTAGGCACAGATGGCAGGATTTCAAGTGTAATGGCAACAGAATTTTTTCCTTATCTATGAAAATTATGATACGCTCCATTTTAAAGAAGAAAGAAAAATGCAGATTAGTCTTAATTCTTCAAGTCCTTGAATTGCTTTCTCATAGAGGTTTCAATTACAAGTGATGAATGAAAGTCAAAATGCCTCAAACTGCATGGAAATCCTGAATTGAATACAAAGCCCCAAGTTTATG